AGCACATAGATTAACTAATGATTTCGAGTTTAGTAGGTTTTCGGTTGGGCGCGGGTTCCCAGCGAGGAAAAGTAAATTCCCATCATGTAGAATCGACATAGAGTCTATATATGTTGTATTGCTTTTTTTATAGCAAAGGAACTGATTTGTGAAATTATTATGCTAGCATCAATTCAAGAAATAAGAACATACTTTTTGTCAATGGAAGTGATTTTATTGATTAGCAACACCAGGAAGACCGAATTTTTAATTTTTTTTTCTATATGAGGATACGTCCGCTAATAGATGAAGTCTATTTGAGTTTTTATCTGGCAGACCCGGGGCTATTATACCTTATGGTTGTTCAAAAGACACGAGCTAAATACACTAAATCACCGAAGCAATTAAAAAATCGTAGACGAAAAGAAAACATGCACTATTCAGAGCACAAGTCGACTACGAATGCAACACTTGATAAAACATTAAAGAGTTTTAAAGTTTTTTGCAATATATATAAAAGATCTTCAATTCTCTTTCTTCGTATTAATAAAGGTCGTATTATAACCCCCGACGATTTCTTAGGATAATCTTGTTTTAATTTGCGGTTTCGTAATTTATAATTTCTTATGTTTTTAAGATGTATACATTTCTGTGGCTATAACTACGCATAAAAATTAAAAAAATTCAGAAAATTTTGCTCGCACATGAGTTTAAGTAACATTGCTTATAAATCCGTTGTTATTTTAAGTCACTTCTCGATTAACATCTTTATAAGCATAAGTTTATGTGTACTCAATTTTTTTGAAAAATATTGTCGGATTTATAAGCAGAATTAAAACAGTAGCGTAATGATATAAGTTCTTTCAGTTTAATTTTTATTAAATAACTTTCAAATTGTTTTACACCCCCTTTAAAATATTTGTATGTTTTAAATGGTCAAAAAAAAGGTTCTCACGCCGAACATAGGTAAAATTTTTCTATGAATTTCGATGTTTTTTCTACCTTTTCCCCTCTTTCCAATCTCGCAGGCTTGCTATTTATTTTATTCGTTGTCATTTTTTGGTAATTGAAATTACCAACTCTGCATTCTACAGGGTTGTATTTGTAACTAATATTACAGCATAAAATCAAATGATATAAAACAGATGTGGTACGCGTACGCGGACGAGAACATCAACAAATGGAAGCAAATGTTCAGAGAAGGCGATACCTAGCTGACCTAAAACATGTATTATGTCTAATTATATGAAGAAGTATCTTTAGAGAAGTTGTTCTGTTTTATTGAATATTTATCTAAAATAGACATCGCTAGAAGATAATTAATGGCGTTGAATTAATCAAGCACCCAGGTCTTTAGCTTGAAGTATGTCTAGCGTTTTACGTTTAAGGTCTGGAGACTGTAAGGCTTGACACATACTTAGCTATAACTACAGCTTTTTCGAATTGATTGACTAACTGACTGTTATATTTCAATACCTAAGCAGTACAGTGACCGTAATGTACACATGAATAATGTTCAATGGTATAACCCACATGACTACCCTGAATGAAGTAAGCTGTGTGATATAAGTGGCTGCAGTCACAACAGCACGTATGCCGAGTTTTAAGATACGTACAAAGGACCAGATAGGGAGAAACAATAAAAAGAGCTGGAAACCATCTTTGGAAAAGCGGCTGCAAGATAAAGTGAATCAGTTACGTATTGAATTAGGAAGACTCACAGCTTACGCTAAGGGGAACGATTAGAGAAAACTCAAAAATGCAAAAATGCTTAGAGTGTACACAACCGACCAAATTACAGAAAATGAATTGCTTAGTAAGAAAGACGAAAAACAGCAAAAGCTTGTAGCGTATGCAAAAAGACTAAGAACATATAGGAGAAGTGTTGAGAGAAATCAGCAAATTAATGAGTATAAAAGAAATGAAAAAGCTTTATACAAGTAGTGAGGTAACGTGCTCTATCCAAACTACATCGCTATGGACGGGCGTTGAGGTTTTGCCGGTGAAGAGATTTTTTGAGACTTTACTGTTGATACTGTTGCAGCAGGTTTTGGTGCAAGCGCCATCATAATAGGTTTAGCAAGGTTGCAGTCGCCGACCTTGGCGCTCTGAGCGGTAATTGAAGCAATTGCTGAAGCAGTCGTAGATTTTATCACTGAATATTTTGAAGGCCTCGCAGCGAAAAAAAGCAACTTATCCGGACAACATACACAACATTTGGCTGTAAAAGCTTAGTTCGATACATGAGCAACTTGCCAAATGCTACACTTAGCTATTACACACATCACAAAAGGTGTCTTCGGAATTGTATGTATTTATTACCACTGACACGTCAGATTATCGGCCGATTACGTGCTTGTCAGTATTGTACAAATTGCTGACAAAAATAATTACGAACAGTTTTTATGCTCACTGCATGAGAAGCAATATAATAACAAGTGAGCAGAAAGAACGCAGGAAAGAAGCCCAAGTGCGCAAAGCGCAAGTTACAACTGACGCGATCATAATTGGCCGAACTATAACACAAGCAAAGAAATTTGAGCATGGCATACATCGACTATAAGAAAGTATTCCAATTAGTGCCGCACGAGTACTTGCTAGAGGTCTTGCAACTGTACAAAGTCAATCATAATGGTTGAGTTTTTAGGGGTCGGCGGAATATCACGCTCTGTACTGGTAAGGAAACAAGTAACCAAATTTCAATCCGGCAAGGGAAATTTCAGGACAATGCATTGAGTCCGCTGTGGTTCTGCTTAGGTTTATCCTCAGTAGACTGCTCAATAACATAAACAACGAGGTGGGATACCGACTAAGAAGTAGAGACACCGAGATTTGCCTCAACCACATAATCAAAATGGAAGGCATAAAGCTGTATACCCTCAACAAATACAAACTACACAGAATAATAACAATGATCCAACATTTCAACGAAGTAATTCGAATTGGATTTGGATGGGAGAAGTTTTCAGATCCGGAAAAATTTGCGAGGAAGAAGGCTCACTTTCTTTCGATACTCATGATAAAATGGAATGTTTGAGCAAAGAAAAAAGCCACAGATATCTGGGGCTCAATTGAAAGTTATACTGGTGTAGGATATGAAGGAAAAAATTAGATCGATACCAAGCTCAACTTGAAATACACATGTAAAGCTATCGATACTTGGACTAAACCAGTATACACCTACTCTTTCGAAGTAGCGAAATTGAACACCACGGACCTAGATCAGGCGAACAGGCGCACCATCCACGTCCCTAACACGCCAAATTGGTGGCCAAGGGCTAACGTCCCTACCGACCGTACATGATGCACAGGTCCAGCATTTAAGACCTTACTTTAGGTCGCAAATAAATGTTGGTCAAAATAAGCAGAAATTACATGCCACTAAATTTACAAGCAACTTACTGACTCTCTAGCAGACGCTATGTAATTGAACCCGAAAATAATTACAGGGAAACCATGCGAATGGGGTGGAAAGATAAAATAGATCTGCAAAGTACATACCAATGGTCAATCAGAGGGGAGCTGTTTTTTGAATGGGAGGACTTATTGTAGCTATAGAAGAAAAAGTAATATGCACACGTTGTTACCAAACGTATATAATGAAGGAAGAAATAGGAACAGACTAATGCCGAAAATGCAAAAGCAGTATAAAAACAATAGATCATGTTATTACCGGGTGCGCAACACTTGCTAGCACGGCATACCTGAACATACACAACCCGGTATGTAAAATAGTACATCAAGTACATCGGTAATGTAGAACAAGAATGCCGCGATGTATTGGGACAGGTCATAGCCGACCGCCCAGTTAACGCCAATAAACCGGACATAGTTGTAATAATTTGGCAGAACAAGCCCATCGACATTATAAATATTATAATCCCGCTCACACAAAGTATATAGACAGCACACTCCAATAAGATTGCCAAATATACGAAGTTGGCACAAGAGATGAAAGGTATGTACAACTTAGACAAAGTCGCTATAACTCTAATCGTGGTATCTTGTACCAAAAATTGCTATAAAAGATCTTAAGGCCAAGTAAGCAGTGCTACTCTCTACAGCAACTTTGGCACGCGAGTTCCTGCAAAACCAGTAAATATAGGTGATAGAGTAAAGTCTTAAGCAGCTGAGTCCATACCTACCTGGGGGTGGATAAATTTTAAACCATGAGCTAAAGAATGTGGAAACAAAAATAATAAAAATAATAATAGTAATGATAATAATAATAATAACGTAAATAATAATAATAATGTAAATAATAATAATATTAATAATCATAATGAAAATAGTAACAATAATAATTATATGATAATGTAATATTATTAATTAAAATTGTAATTGTAATTATTACCGTTATTATTATGATTATTATAGTTATTATTCTTATAATTATTATTATATATAATATTGTGACATCCGCCTGAGTGGCCGAGTAGGCAAGAGTCTCGACTAGCAAGTCAATGGTCGTGGATTCGAATCTCAAGTGCGGTAGAGTTTTTAATAATAATAATAATAAAAGCCGATAGCCTTAGATACTAGTGCTTTTAAGAGTTTAGTCTTAGAATTTATTTCTCTGGCGAAATTAATAATAATAATAATAATAATAATAATATTGTTAAGACAACGCCAACCATAAACTTACCCCTGTGTCAAATTTATATTTATTATATTTATAATTTGTCCTTTTATTTCCCCACAAAGGTCTATTTTAATTATTGTTGGTAATTGTGTTAACATACCACTGTTATCATTATTATTATTACTTTTATTATTATTATTATTACTGTTATTATTGTTATTATTATTCCTATTATTACTATTATTACTATCATTATTATTTTTATTGTTATCATTATTATTACTATTTCCAAAAACCTTGACTATTTAAACTTTAAAATAAGATTTTGCATAGATTTCGGTCGATTTAAAGTGTGTACTTTATTAAACGAGAGGTGCATTCTGACGTATTGCATTTGTCACAATAATTCAGATTATTATTTGATATTTGTGATAATTACCTTATGTGTAGTGTTCCGTTCGAGCAATTGAAATAGCCATATTTTCAGTCTTTTATGTTTATTCCCTGTGCGTTTCCCCCGCTTAACTTTCGGCATAACTCTGTCTATTCGAATATGAATTTCAGCATTGCGAACAAACAGTTTTTGGCCCAACATTTCGCTATTCTGGCTTGAAAACTCGACAAGACGGTGCTGCTTATACATGCTTCCTGCAAGAAATGGTTGATAATTGTTTTTTAATTGCATCCTGTGTTGTCTACAATAATGTATTATTAATTAGCGAGTGAATCTCAGTGCATTTACTGCGCACTTTAGTCCAATTTATGCTGAACTAAATAGGCATGAGTATCCGAGAAATTTTAAAACTATGAAATTTTTTGCTTAATAACTATGAGCATAATAAAAATTTATAAATTAACAAGCAAAACTCTTATAGTTGGAGAAGTTGAACGCTAAATGTCTTACGCCAGATAGCCTAACAATAGCTTTGATTTATTTTGCTGATGAAATACCAAAAATTATACTTTGTGCCCGTATAAAATCATACTTTTCATAGGAGCTCTAATGTGGGTTCAGTCCATACACGTGATCTGACATGGTTTAAGTCTAGCAGATATTTTTTTTTTGTTGAAGTCTGTATTTCACCCTTGATGCAAAAACGCGTGTGCTTTTTTTAGTTTTTTATTACTTGCTTCGCTTTATTTCTACTCTTATTTTTATATTATAACAATATTTATATTTATTTTATATCAAAGGGCTTCATTAATATACATATAACAAGAACATAACAAAAAAGAATTCAAATTATAACAGAATGTTACACCTTCTTTTAATGTCACCTAACATTAGGTGCTATGTATCGAAAGACTTAACGTTCCCACCTGTCACTAGAGTGAATACTGGAGCGTTTTCAAATTGATCTTCATCACGTTGCATGTATTTTAATGGATCTTCTTCGTAATTTTCTTTATTATATCTTCATTTTCAATTGTAAGTTTAAGTTGATTAGTCGTCGTTTAATGGAACCTTGTGATACTCACACCTGATCAATGAGTCGAACCGTTGCCTTTGAAACTACGTATATAATCTTTTGAAACGGGCTCAGTTTTTTTCGATTTTACAAGTGTTGAAATCTACATTCAGCTCTAGCGTGAAATGATAAATAGAAAGGTATCTGTGTATAGCATCTTTTATTGAAAGTTCACCGTCGATATGTTTTCGAATATGGGATTTAAATGACACTACAAAACGTTTCTTGATGGAGAATGAAAAAGTGCAGTTGTAACATGCTGGATATCCAATTTGTTGCAAAAGTTGTTAAAAGGGTCTACAGTTAGTGACAACCAATTTTTGGTATAAAAAAAAAAAAACTATAAAAGTTAAAAATAAAATATTAGTAATGTCAACTGTTGCTGCATTGTGCATCTTATACGCATGTGGTAATTGAAAACAAGCATTGACACAAATAATCTGCATTGAATTAAAAGCTCGGGCGGATATATCAACAAGAATACATTCCCAACCGACTATTGGCTTCTATCGAGTTTTAGATTAACTTAACAGAGGCTTAACCTTTGAAGACTGCACATCCAAATAAGTTGTATAGGTCATCAAACAACCCTGTGCCTGTCAAGGACCACGAAAACGATTTCATAAAATATTACTGTAATCGTCGCGAATATGAATTCCAATTTTAATTTTTTTTGTGAAATATGTTGAAAGCTGATATTAGTCGATATTCTATTGCAAAAGAAAATATTGCAGGTAGCCTCTGTTGGCTGGCATATTAACACAAAAAAATTAAAATTTTAGTTTGTTATTTCAATTTACGAGTGAACGATAAACGACACAGCATTCTGCGGATTTCATTTTCTTCCTCAGTTACTTTACTGATTTATCGCTTTTGCAACTTATACCTGCCCCGAAAAATGTTGTATCTTACCCTCGAAGTAAAAACGTATCTTATTTCTTTAGCTTACAACCCCATACTTCACTTTATTTCTACTCATATCTCTATGTCAATATCATAAGGAGTCAATGATACGCATACAAGAAAAACATAAAAAATAATAACTACAAAAATATAAAAAATAATAACTAAATAAGTACAACAAGTGAATATATATAACAAAGACCTTATTATTCGCCAATGATTTTCCTCATAAAACAGTACAAATTAAACTTTGTCGCGTTTACTATTCAGGAGAATCCTTCTGCAATCCGAAAAGTAGTCCTACGTGGTCGAAATTTACTGCAATCAATTTTTATGCTAAATTCATCTTATAAAAGCATTTTCATTATAAAATATTAAAAATTATACGGTGGTTCCTTATAAACTTCCAATTATTAGAATCTGTATATGGGAGCGGATTGGGAAGAGTTTGAGATGCGGGAAGAACAAATTACGAAAGTTCGAAATTTAAACAAAAATATATAAAATATATGTAAATACAATTTAAAACATTTGCGTGAACAAAACATTATAATCTACCACTCTATTCACAAAGCTTTATTAATGTATTGCACATCTGTTTCAAATTTTTGCTAAATATTATATATTCAACTGCTAGAAAAGCAATAATTACACTAAACAATCTCAAAGTGAAATTAGAGACCATAGAAAGTAAATGGTCATAGCTGAACAAGTTGAACGGGAAGATAACAAATCAATGATACTCATTAGATGCATTTCAAACCCATAGGAGTTAAGAAATTTTGACAATTGAATGGTTTCAAAGTGTATCTTTGTCATATGCGAAACGAAACGAAAGTCTTTTAAAAATTTAGTTAACATGACATAATTACTTTTAATGTCAAGAAATAAATAAAAATGTTTTAATCACTTTTGTTTTAAATATTCTTCCAATTCTTGTACGCATATTTTTTTATATTTTATTGCACTACACTATTATAAAAATATGCTCAAGAGTCATATCAGTTTTACCGTTGTTTGGTAGAGCCGTAGGGTTGTTGCTGTATCGCGTGGTCAGAACATGGCTTTTAGTGAGGAAAAGTTAGACGATAATTGTTGCTTTTAAAAGAATTATTTCAGAAAATCGCAAACAATTCTTCCCGAAGCATAAAAAGGTTATAGTTGGGCATGGTTATCAAGCAGCATGCACCACTTCGCCCAACAAAATTCTTCATTTATGTTACGATAAAATACTACAAATTATTCCTGGTTTCCATGTACAGACATGGTTTTCATGCGAATATTTTATGCATAAACAGACCTGCATTGTCCATATTTGTTACAGTAAGCTTTTATATGAGATTAAAACTTAGACGCCTTTGCAATACGAAACCTTAATGTCAATAAAACAATTTAGATGTGAGTTCACAAAATTAGCTTATCTAATTGAAACTTCACGTCAATTTGTACGCCAAACTGTATAACAGTATAAATTTCTTGAAAATATCTTGAAAATACGTGAATAGACATCAGATGAACGGGAAAATTTAAATCGATTTGGAAAATGATTCTGATTCGATCAATATAATGCGGGGCGAGCCCCTCTTCTGTGTGCTACGCAAACCCACAATGTCGCAAGAGGTATAAAATATAGTTTACGTTGCCTAAGTTGAATTATATACGAATATGAGTCAGTCCTGGAACGTAGCACAATTTTGAAGGTTTCAATTTTTTGATTAAAAATATGAAATCTGCCTAATAAAAGAAGCTATGTAAAAAAGAAACAAATACGGCGAAAGTGCTCACAGCACGCTTGCATTAACAACGAAAAACTAGAATATTTAACATTAAATGGGACAGACTTACGATGGCGGCGATAATTATTTCATTCATTATCATAATTTACGCATCGAGAGCGTCAATAACTATTCAGCATCATTTAGTTATGCCTTTAATTGTGGGCCTGCTAGCAAAGCTGATATGTAAATAAATCTTTATACGTTTCCAGTGCTCGCACATAGTGTGTTTTAATTAGCACGTAAATGGAAATTCGGTTGGAATGGTTTCACGGATGCAAAAAGACGTGAAGATCGAAAAACTAGGTCTATGAGCACGACGAAAAGACGAGAAAAGCGAATAGGATTAAAGAAAGGACGCAGTTAGATGATTTGAAATAGAATTTGACGAGCCTAAAATGCCCGCATGCCTGTAAGGTAAAAATACCTGGCTTTTATGGTTTTTGCTCGTTATTCATAGACTATACACCAAATAAATTTAGTTTTTTCCTTTTTTTAGCCTTTTTTAAGATAACGGTGATGTGTATAAAAGATTCGATCACGGGAGAATGTAATTTTCTTACTTGCAGTAATCGACAATAATTAGAATAGCATACTGCAGTACTGCGTTAGTGATCAAAATAATGGTCCCTTTCGTAACAATGAAGAAGGTAGGCACTTGCCGACCTAAAATATACACATTAATTCACAAATAATAAAATAAATGGATGTATCCTTCCCAATAATAAACTATAATTTTTTTGCAAAAAAAGAGATCGATATGAAGTGCAAATGTTCGTGGAGAAATTAACCAGTTCACATTAACCTTGAATTGCATGAATTTTTGTTTTCAATAAATGAAATTTGAAATCGATCGGGAAGTGAATGTTGTTAATGGGAAAAAGTGCAAAAAAACCAAATAAGACTTTTTCCTTAATTTATTTAGGTACTCCTACAAACGTAAATAATAGCTTTTATTACATCATAAAACGTGAAAATCTAAAAAACAATTAGTTTTAGCGTTTGAAAATATGAGAACATTGCATTTGTCACACAACCACTTGTGGTACACCTACATCGTGGAATTTTACACCTGTATCTACTTGAAAATATAGGCCAGTGACTAATGCCGTCTTATCGTACATCCGTAGACGGAAAAGGAGGACATGTCTTCAATGCCTATCAATTTTGCTTTAATGAGGCATTACTAGGCTGACATTTTTCATTGTCGTGCAAATGAGATCCCATATTATAGAGAGCATCAGCCAAACCATTGCGAAACTGACTAATATTTCGTGGTTGTTTGCTTAGGATGCCCTTTGGAATAATTTTTCTTTTTCATAAGTATACTCGAATTTATTAGGGCAAGGTCTAACAGAAAACAGGCGTAGGTATCATTTGCGGCTTTTGACTCTTATATTCCTCATATATACGTACTATGCTCTTACACTATTTTTGGATAAGAGATATAGATCGTTTGCTTCAGTCGTTTATCATATCGATAGATATTGTCTACGAGTTACGAGCCAGTATAAGTAGATAGCAACCTTGTTGTTTTTCCCAAACCTCGCTGAAAAGTCAATACCATCATGGAGAGAAATTCTTTCCTTACAAGTTTCCCTAGAATTTGTCGTCCCCATCAGATCTTTCTTACCCGCGAGTCTACAATTAGGTAATCTGTTGTACGGTTCCGACACAATAAATGCCTTGTTTCGACAAACCACCAGCGGGGATGATGTGCAAAAATGATCAAAAAACACTACATGACACGTTTATTCTTGGCATCACTTTAGTTGATCGTAGCACGACATTATTGTTGATTTCCAAATCTGGTACACCTGGTAGTCTATTTGTTTTGTGTCTTGTCTGAAACACACTTCGAAAGGGGTGTGCGTATCCTATGAGATTAAATAAAGCAAATGGCTTGTAGCTCCACTTGTGGGGCTTTTTTAGCAAATATTAATTCAGGGAATAACTTCTTTTACGAATACATTCGTTCATCTATTGAAAGACAATGGTCTATAGGAATAGAAGAACAATTTTCATTTAGGTAGTCTGTTACACGTCTACCCTTTTGTAAGCGATCGTGGTTTGGATAATCTGTAGAAAGATGTTTCTCCTAATACATATAAAAACTCGTAAGAAATGAATGTGAAAGCTATGCAGCCACATTGTAATTATATAATTATTATAACAACAATACAATTACCTAAAAAAGACTACAAATATGAAAACAGTAATAAATGTTTTACAAAATAACCTCAGGACTAGTGAATTTATCTAGAACCGAACGAAATATTGTGACCTAATCTTCGACAGCCTCGTGGATTATTGTACTTAAAATTATAACAGAGCCTATAATGAGTTCAGTAATAGAATTCAACAATTCAATTGATAGAAAATGCGTATATACAACTATTATGTAAATGAATCGTGATCCTACTTACCTTTTTCTGCGAATGTTATGATCTCTTGGGTACTACCGAAGAAATCCTCATTATCCTCATCAGCATATGAGTTGGTATCGGCATTCATTACGTAATGGTGGTATTTAAGAGTAGATTCATTATCTACATCCTCTTTGTCGAAGTTATTATCGTAATTAATCTTTAAGCTATCATCACTACTGATATCCGTTAGATATGTAAACGTTCTTCGGTCATTGTATCTGTTGTTGCTGTTGCTCTCGCTGCCTCTGTGACGGATTTTTGGCAATTTATATTTCATATTGTTGTTGATAATATTCTTATTATTGTGTTTTAGCGTTTGTTGTGGTGGTTGTTGTTGTTGTCGGTAATGTATATATTGTAATCGATTTTTCGGTTGATTTTGGAGGTGTTGTGAACCTTCATGTCTTTCATGTTGTAGTTGATGTATGCTTTTTGGGTTTATTGTTGTTGTTGGTTTTGTTACTGTTGTTGGGTTTGTTGTTGTTGCTGTTGTTGTGTTATAATTTAACATGTTTGTTGTGTGTGCATGTTGATATTTAAGTATTTTATCATTATTATTACTATTATTATTATGAGGATGGTAGTGATGTTGATCATGTTTAGATTTCTTTTTATTAACAAAGTCCTCTAGCGATTTTTTGTTCACCTTTAATATGGGACTGGCGCGCTGCTGTTTTCTCAGGTTTGTATTGAAAACCGAAAATACCCGTAACAAATCATGCATACGATGCTGAGATATATGGTGGTGATTGATAGTGAAATCACTAAAGCTATTGATACCATCTGCCCTATAAATCGTGTCCCATATAAATTGTTTTGGCAACGGATGAGAAACATTGGGTTTTCTAGTAAGGCCCAGTTTCGACAATATTTGCTGTTTAATCGATTCCAAACGTAATTGGTCGCTTTGGGCGTGGTGTTCTATCGATTGCGTTTATGTTAAATAAAATCATTGATTGTTATGTACTAATTTTTGTTTCTTTTTTTTTTTTGTATTTTAATAGATGGTGGGAAGGTATCGTATGAAAGAAAAGCGTACATGCATGTTTGACGATGTTTTGACACATTCCCACCACCGGTGCATACCTTTCGTAACTTATCAAGATACGCGTATCGTAGATTCCACAATAAGCCAAAATTCTGAATTTGCTTATCATTCTGTAGACGAACGTTATTACCTATCATTTTGTGAAAAAGGCGATTACTCTAGCGTAATCTAATTTTAGGATTAGGTTTAAGTAAATATAGTTTTAAGTTTATGCTTTTAGGCTCAAGATATACTACTCAAACATTATAGGCTTACAAGAAGCTAGAGATAACGAAAATTGTCTTATGGTTTATATATAAAGTAATTCTACATTTAGTTTAATCGTCCTATTTGCAAAACCTGCGAAAATCATTCAAAGGGTCTACATAATAAATATCGCTTGGATTTACGGAAGATTGTCACTGAATGGCTGTACTTTTTTTTAAAGCTTTAATTTTGCATAGATATTCGACGCCAAGTAGTCGATAACAAATCGCCGAGATTAGCATTTAACCACTGGACTAATTCAAGTTCAAGTCCTTTTACACTGTGGGGATACGGATCAACGTCAACGTCAGTTACTAAGCCGAGTAAAAAGAAACGCAGAAATAGATCGAAACAGTGCCCACATATCATGTCTACCGAATTACAGCTGCTCGATTCGAAACACTTCACAAGTTCACCCATTAATCGATACTAAACACCAATAACATTAACCGCAGCTTAGACCGAAAAAAAAAGAACACAAATTAACATACAGACAGACTGAAGTGGAATAAGTTTTAATTGAAACTCTTCTACAAACAGCAAAGCGACATAACGAAAAACCCGCAAAATTAACTTTTACAAACGTGCCTAAACTAACGAAGAATAGCAGGATGCTAAACTAGTTTAACTTAAATATACGTCACTACCTGCTATTAGTACACGTAGTTAATTAAATCTTATATTATAGTTTAACTTATAGCTTAAGTTTACCAACTGTTAACCGAAAACAAAATTTAAAAAAAATGCAAAAACACTTAAAAGTGTTGCCATCAATTAGTAATGACGTTTACCTGTGCAAGGTGGTGAGTAGTCAAGGCTTACTTTGAAGGGAATGTCGTTGATTGATTTGAGTATACTCCAGCGCTTAAAATATTTTTAAAAGAGTTGTATCCTTGGATCACAATATAATTTTATTAACTTCACGATCAGCGTTATTATGCCTTAACATATGTATATACACATATATAAATGTATTATACGACATGTATATTGCATATCTAAATGAATATAAATTCATTCATTTCGCCCATATAATAACTCAGCAATAGTTAGTGTAATGAGCCGAAATGATTGACGAAACTACTTTCAGTAAATTCTAAAAATCATTCATTCCTACATCAATCATACATCTGCAAAAAATTTCCTGCCTACAATTTTTCCAAAAATACCCTTTACATTTTCTGTATTTGATTGAAAAATTAATAACGCAATGGAAAGTGGACCAAATTTTATACGGAATTAAGGTTTTGAGTTAATCCGTCGATCAAAATAGTTTATTTGCATCCGGAATATTGTTTTTTTTTTTTAATTTTTGGTTCGTCTCACTAAATTCAAAAACATACCGTAAGAATAACTCTTCTTGACTCGCAATTAACTATTGTTCAGCTCTCAGGCCGACCATTTCGTGTTACGAATATAAAAGAGTTACACTCGTGTGAGGACCAAAGTTCCAGGGCCGTTTTGGTCCCACGTTTAGGTTCAGTATATTTTCCATATCTATATACACTTTGTTATTTCGTTTCTATATAATGTTATTTTACCTCTTTGTATATATATTTCTCATTGTCACATACATCCACATATATATATCTTATCATATTGTCGGTACTACTCTCGTAGACATAGGTGTCTACATTATCTTATATTATTTCATATATATATATATGTAGGTATATAAGTACCTTGTCTCATATATTCTTATATGCATATATATTACTTCACCCTTTTGCATATATCAGTTTGTGTTTTCTCTTTATACATACGTATACTTTCTATACTTTTTATATTTTTCTCCTTTTTTGTAAACATACGTATATGTCTACACTTTTAGTAAATTACCAGGTTGTAGGAAAGGTATTAAATGTACATCGACTGGAAACCAGCGGGGTTATCACGTTTGAAAACATATCAGCTGATGTCGAATGTGGTTGTGAGTCAATGGACAACGCCGATCACGACAAACAAGTTTTGAAGAAATGTCAAGGGCATTTCCGTTCTATTTCGCTCTCTGATTGAAGTTGTCGTGCTGGATGGACGTTGGTCTGGGAATCCGGAAACATCCGCATAAATAACAGACGTGAGTAGTACTTTAGGGCAGAAACTGAATGTGAACAGTAAGACTAAACTGGGGAATTAAAATGTGAGGTTGGAAGACGAACTATGTAGGTAAGGGCCTGCTAAAAGCTTAGCATCTCATTCTTCTCTAGAAAGCATCAGTAATTTGATGAACGTTTGGGCCGCATGATTCATTATGTTTTATGTATTGAGATAGTATACCTTAGATCTCCAGTAGTTAATAGGAGCGCATTCAGTATAATAAAGTTTATGGGTTTGTATATTTTTGTAAGCGAAATAGATAAAAGGTAACTTACCGCCTTAAGATATAATCGGGGGTATGTGCCATTTTAAAGCACTTTTGCATGCGTGGATAGCCCAATGAGCTAACCATGTGCACAATAAGGAGATGAAGAAAATTGCCTACAGCCGAGGAATTTTCGGTCTTTAATTGACGCCGAACCGGGTATATTTTAAATACATGTAATTTGTATTCGAGAAATCCGCGATGCTGTGGGACGCACACATTTGTAAATATATGGAGAGTTACAATGGAATGATAAGAATAAGCGTTCATTCTTGTGCTGGCGGTCGCAAGTATAAGATATTAAAGGAAACAAAAAAAGTTATTAAAGGAAAAACATATGCAATTAGTGGTGTGCGAACGTGGAAATTTTATGAAGCAAAAATATTAAAACGTTAGGAAACCATAGGTGAAAACGTGAACATTGTAGAAAAATTGAAGATGAAAATTAGAACGTGGAAAGGAAAAGAGCTGAAATTTTTCTACTGCTCTATTGGAGTAGAATTCGTACAGTGCTCTTATGGAAGTATATTAACTTATTAGCTAAATCCCGTACGGATTCAAACGAATGAGAATAATAATAAAGAAAAGAGAAGCGAATGACGTATATGTAAGTAGGTGATTAAAGGTTAAATAAAATTTGATATAATCGAGATCGCCAAAAATAATCGATGCATTTGCTGTTAGGTTTGGTGTAGTAAAGTGCGCGTTATGTGGAATATAGATTTTCGAGCGGCGTCAAAAGAATTGCGCAATCGTATGTAGATAAATAAAATTAAAACATCATTAGTGGCGGTTTAATGTATATAGAAAGAGTAAACCTGTTTAATATGTATAGAAAAAGTAAAAATGAACAAAAAAGTTTCACGTTTTAAAACTGAAAAAGAAAAGCCTGAAAAAATTGAAAAAGGTGGAAATTATGAGAAATTAATCTTTTACGGAATTATAGTGACGCGAATATAAATGGTCGAGCTAAGGGTACGAAATAGAGTAATTTGAAAGATATATAGAAGATAATTCGGGGAAATTTATCGATGTCTGTTATAATTTCGTGAAATATAAATACGTCACATACATCGAGATGGTCAAAATCTGAAAAAGTCAATATCGATTGTTGTTTTTTTATTATTTTGTATTTATTAATTTCATTTATCGATGACCCGCGAAGACTATAATATTAAAGTTATGTTAAGTTAAATAAGGATACATGACGATTGGTCGTCGATTAGTTTCCGTTTTCAACGCTTGAGTAACGGGATTATTTTCTTTTGTTTTACGATTTACTAATAATTTAACCGTTGATTTAACAATTTCGGTTTAATAAAATGTTGAGCAAATTTGTCGGCGTGCACCGACACAATTGGTTGGACATTTGACTGCTTATTTAAAATTCACATGGGAGAAGTTTGTTCGATTAACGATCGGTTGTCGAGTTAGAAACAGTGTTGTAAAACTTTAGTCCGAGAAGATTAACCAAAATAAATAAGAACGCAACGATCGTTAGAATGACATCATGCTAATACGTAGAATATAAATTAGCTTTCTAATTCTTTTGGAAAAAAACCAAAAGGGAAAAGCGAATATAATATGTATGTTTGAGAGAAAATATTCTGATTAAGCTTGACATTTACGAGCGGGTCTGATGTTGTCTGATACTAGAAGACCGCCGTTTAGGTTGATATGCAGACAAGTCCTTAATTTGTTTCAAAAATTTCGTAGAAAAAGGAAAAAAAAAGGGGAAATCATTATTTTTTCCTTCTTTCTTCCATTCTCCTTCTTCTGATATTAAACAAATGCTATCAACTTTAGACAAATAAGATATCGCACTCGCTCCTAAATACAAGTAATTACAACTAACACTTATTACATCCGTCCCCGGGGATTTACTAGGCTTCCACTTCACGGAACTTGTCTTTTCCTTTTGGTCGATGCTAGAAAAGTGAATAAATTATAAGCAAATCGATTAGAACGACTCTAAATTTAAAATTGTAAATGTAAAAAAAGAAGGAAAAAATATAGCAGGTAAAAATACGTATTGAGATATTATCGAGTTTTCTTATAACATATAGAAAAGGGCGATCCAGTCTAACGAAACTTACAGTAGACGAATATGGTAAGGCAATTATTGAACACAATTTCCTAACAAATGGTTATAGAATGGCGAACGTGTTTAGGGCAGCATGAGCCTACATGCTCGGCCAAATCGTCTTATTGAAGTATTTAAAAGAATTTCAATTTAAAACGACCGGAAACGTCGATAAATTACGA